GTTGCATGTTTTTGATGTAATACTGCTGTAAAAGTTGCACATTTAGTGAATGTAATAATACTGTAAACGTTGCATGTTTTTGATGTAATACTGCTGTAAAAGTTGCACATTTAGTGAATGTAATAATACTGTAAAAGTTTCATGTTTTTGATGTAATACTGCTGTAAAAGTTCACATGTAGTAGGCATAATACTGTCATAAAAGCTGCACATGTTACATGTAGTGAATGTAATACTTCTGTAAAACAATTTGCTGCAGCAGTGTAAGTTAATCTGTCATTTTTAAAGATTTGTATCTAGAATGTGTTAATTGTTTCTGTATAACTTGGTTGAAGTTTAAATGTCATGACCTTTCTGTTACATTCAAAGTTTAGTTCAGCAACTTTATTATAAGAGTATGTCAATAAATTTGGCATGAAAACATAGTTTATAATACAAATTTTCAATTATGTAAGTTTTAACTTCAGACATAAATATTTAAGTAAATTCTTAGTCTTCATTTTGCTGTTGTGCATGATGTATCTGATTTATAACTTCTGAAATAGACTGATGCAGCTTTCAAACTCCAACTTTATTTATTTGTTTTGATATCAGAATAATTATCAAACCAACAGAAAAGCTCCTCCCTTTTCTCACAGACTTTCTAAATTGCTTGCTAATCAACTTTACATGGCTAATGGATACGTTTATAACCAGTAGAAAGAACAGATTCTCATATATATCAAACTTACAACCTTCCTTTTGAATTTGGGGAAAATATTCTTTCTATAGAAATATTGTCATGTGATCATTGTGTTAGAGCTCTGATTGGCTAACAGGATGTTTTGAACCTATTTGTAACTTATGAAGAAAAGCAGGTAAATTATAGTAGTTATGGGATGTTTTATTCTAATATCATGTTTTTTGTGTTCTAAAATGCATATCTGAAAACTACATGAAACAAATGTGTAAAGTACACTAAGGTTTACAGGCAGTTACAGGGTGAATGTAAAGATAGTAGGGTGTTTACATAAAGTCAGTAGGAAACAGCTTATGGGCTCCTGCTGTGATTTATTGCTTTTGATAGGGTCCATGGTTCAAAACACAGATAATAAAACCATAAAGTTAAAAGAAAACAGATGTGAAAAGATTAATGGTTGAAATTGTGAAGAAAAATAATTTGAAAAATATTGATGCCTGATGCACTGAAAAAAGAAATAAGGTATTATTAATTTTATTTCATATTTTTCAGCTTTTCATTTCACTGTACATAAATGGTCACACTGCAGTTAGTGGTAGGATGGAGAAAATAAGAGACAAAATCTAAAGTTTTATCAAAACAAAAACTTTCAGTATTCATTTAAGAGGTTTTAGAGGTTATGCAAATGAAATATGAAATCTGTGAAATGAAAATCAGTATTTTTATACTTATCATGAAAATCACCTTGCACTCAGATTGACTCAGTAAATGCTTCATAAGTTTACATACAAATCTTTAGTAAAATTCTTTATTAAAAATCTGATTTTTTTTTAACAGCAGACTTGTATTGCTAGGTAAAAGCTTGCCAAATTTCATGAATATACATTCAGAGTTACAGTATGTATTGTATCTTAGTTAGAAGGTAGTTCGAACCAAACAACTTCATACTGTAAGGATTAATCCAGATTTTATAGAGAAGCATAGATAGAGTTTCTGAAAGTTGGAATCTTTACAGTTACAGTATGTATTGTATCTTAGTTAGAAGGTAGTTCGAACCAAACAACTTCGTACTGTAAGGATTAATCCAGATTTTATAGAGAAGCATAGATAGAGTTTCTGAAAGTTGGAATCTTTACAGTTACAGTATGTATTGTATCTTAGTCAGAAGGTAGTTCGAACCAAACAACTTCATACTGTAAGGATTAATCCAGATTTTATAGAGAAGCATAGATAGAGTTTCTGAAAGTTGGAATCCGTTACAAGTACAATGTAATTAAAATGTAATTATTCAAGTACTTCATCTTGATAATTTTTGTGTTGTATCTTACTAACTTGAGTTGGTAAGAACTGTAACTGTATATTATCAGAATGAAGTAGCTTCATTCTTGGCCAAAGTTTGTTAATAAAACAGATGATGTTATTACACACATCTACTAATCAATG